ATCGCCTGCGGGCGGGGCCTGCGGGCCGCATCGCCTGCGGGCGGGACATGCAGGTCGCATCGCCTGCGGGCGGGGCCTTCAGAACCGGTCGCATTGCCTGCGGGCGGGACCTTGCCGTGTCGCATGGCAATGGGTGTTTGCAGCAATGCAACCCCATCGCAACACTGGTCTAAGGTCTCCTGGTGTGGTTTGCAGCGATGCAGCCCAGCACGACATGGTCTCTGCATCGCCTGCTGGGTGTTCGCAGCAATTGCAACTCCAGCAGCACACTGGTCTTTAGCATCACCTGCGTGGGTGTTAGCAACTCCATCACAACACAGGTCTGCGTCTGTTGAAGCCGGACCTGTGTACCAAGCAGAGCGGTAAATTACCGTCGTAGAGCCTGTGGGCCGCTGGACTGGTCCTGGTGTAGTCGGGATCTGGGAGCATCATTTCAGTTTTCATTACTGTTCAAAAAACATTTTTTAAAGCTTGTTTAACCCAGCGGACATGATTATTATTGTCGCTGGTTGTTGATGTTGTTGTCTCTTTTATAAACTATAGCGGTATCATGAGCTACCTCAATGCCATTACTTCACCAAGGTGATGCAGCACTTCTTTGAAGTCTTGCTGCCACAGTCTGGAATGCTAGAGGATCGTCAGCTGCTGAAAGAGAAGCTCTCGTCCCACAAAGCGTACCGGCAGTTCAGCGGCGATGGAGATGTTACCTGGATGTCGCGGTTGGCAAAGTCTGCTCACGCCACCTACCACCTGCTGGAGGACCTTAATTAAAGTTTTATGATTCAATTTTTCGTTTGAAGTCCTTCTTGTCTGAGTCTTTTTCTGACCGCTGAACCACCACCCTGTCTGCCATTCACACAGGACATTGTGTACAGCAGGAAGTATGACAATCAGCTCCGCACGGCAGGAAAATCTGGATCTGTGCCGGAACAATTCATGGAATACACAGAATTGAAGGAAGCCTGGGACAAGATCACAGCCCTACTGTCCGATGAGGCTGCTGAACGAAAGGCGCTAGCGGGACAGGCTCCAGAGATGGAGGATTCCGTCGCAGATGACCCTGAATCGGTGCAATCCTTGCGCAAGGGGCCGAATGCTTTTGTGCTTCACAGTGACAAGTATTGGCTTGCGGTTGCGAACCAAACTGTTCGCACATACGTATCCCTGGCGCCTGAGCCGAAAACACAAGAAGCTGTCGTCCGGCACATTCAGCAGGGTCCGCTCAAGGACATTAGCGCTGGGGTGCTGGTGTTGTTGGATTACAACCTCCTGGGAGAATCCATGGGACCGGGTGCAACAGAGGGTCTTCGCCGGAAATACAATCCGAGTGAAGATGTTTTGCGCAAGCTACTGCACGGGGCAATGCTTGCCCTTGGCGGCCAAAAGAAGGAAGACGAGCAGTGCACCCTTCCGCCAGAAGGGATCATAGTCTTCTTGCACTTGGGGGACCGGAGCGCGAAAGAGGCTCGGCACCTGTTCCGTCTGCGGACAGCGCGCGCCGATGCAGCCATCGACGCGGAGGAGAAAGAAATTTGCATCGGGTTTAATGATGAGAGCATGCGCGCGCGGAAGAAACTCAGCCGAGGCAATTACAGTGTGAAAGCCTCCATGTTGGTTTACTCCAACAACACTCTCATTCCTGGAACCATCCCGGAGAAACAATACCCACACCATGGTGGGTGGAACTCCAGTGACTTGATGGCCTTGGTGAAGGCCATCCCGCCAGCAGATTTGTGGTACGCTGCCAGGCGCGAACTTGGTGTTTTCGCAAGCTGTTGCATCGAACCCTGATTGTGTCACTATAATAACAACGGTTGACTTGTTTGAAGCACTTTTCTTTTATATATCTCACGCCAATGCTTCATGTCTGCCTTGCCTGTTTCACAGGACTGACAAGGAAGAAATCATCGGAGCTGATCGTACTGTGAAGCCGACTGACAGCTTTGTGGCGAAAGCCGGGCCGGCAGATCCTGATGCGGCTGAGTCCATTTTTTCTGCCCAGTGCTTGCCGTGTGAGTTCTATTCCGATATTGTCAAGGCTTTCTCAGGCAAGGCAGTTTTGGACCTCAGCATCGGGCAAGGACAGGCAGCGCTCAGCTGCCTGCAGAATCGCATTTGCTACGTCGGCTTTGGGCTGACAGAGAAGCATTGCGAAGCCTTGGAAAAGCGACTGACGCAGAAAGTCCTGGAGGAGATGAAGCAGGAAAGCAGTACATTCTACCGCCCTGAACTGGTGACCACCAATGAAGGCCAGACTGGCACTGACACTGGTAAGGGGCCCAAGAGGCCAGGCGGCAATGATGGAAAGCCAGAACCCAAGAAGCCTAAGGGTGGCCCTAAGCCTAAGCCACAGAATCAGAAGCCAGAGAAGCCAGAGAAGGACAGTAATAAGGGCGAAGAGGCAAAGGAAGACGACGATGACCGTCGCTCGGATTCCTTGCCCTGGTAAGTCCGCTGCCCCGTGCATCTGGAAAGGGATCTCATTGCCCTGGTAAGTCTGCAGCCCCCTGCAGCTGGGAAAGGGATCTCGTTGCCGTGGCAAGGCTGCAGCCCGCTGCAGCGGGAAATGGGTTGAAAGGCTGTGCTGTCCATTGACACAGGTCGTCATTGGGAGCCGTTGCCTTGGGACTGCCCGTGCAGAATCTCAAGAAGTTTTGTCTTTTAGCTAGTCATGAAGCCGAATGGGTGGCGATGTTGGCCAGATATGCAGATGTAAATTTTCAGTCTTTTGGCCACCTGTTCTGCTGAAAACACCGTCATTGTGTTCAGACTTCGGCCTACGACAAAGCATCGCAAAAAAAAACGCCTGCCAAAAATGTGAACATGTAACAAGGCAGGCGCCTGGTAGTTCTTAAATTATATGTCATGTTTTTCAATTTGGTCCCAAACTTGAGATCAAATGCTATCTGATTGCAGCCATCTTCTGTTCTACTAGTGAGTCTGAGAGGCGTCGACTTTAAATATGAACCGGGAAAACAATCGCCTGAAGGACATCCTAACTTTGAATGAGTTGAGCTGCTACGCCCTGCAAGCTGTTGTTGTGTGGGACGATGTCACTGACAGACTTGAAGAGTTGCCTGAACGACTGCGGTCGCTTTTGAGCGTTTCAGGCGCAGAGGTGGAACAAGCTACAGCAGTCTTGCGGAAAGTGCTGGATCAGGCGAAAGACGCTGAGACTGATCTTGCCACCTGCCTGACACTGCCAGATAAGGATGACAAGCCCAACTCGCAGGGTCAGGCAATGAGCTGTGATGCTGAAGAGGGCAAGTGACAGAAGCTGCTCGACTCCTCAGAGACGCTTTAGAATTTTTGTGGAAAAAGGCTGCGAGCGACTGTGAATGATTTGACAGATCGCCACCCACCAGCACCATCCTACAATAATAGTAGAACCGGATAAATACAATCTGATTCCGGGTGAAACAACATTTTGTCGACGGTCATGAATCAAATTGACCTCGCCAATCAGGTCAGCCCCACAAGCAACAATAGGGACTAAAAACAACGACCCCAGGCAAACAAACAACAAACCACAACCTCGAAATCTGAAGATTGAAGCAGTTTGCCTCAAACAAACACCAAAAAAAACAACCAGGCAACCACAGAACAACGCCAAGCTAGGGCATCAGAACTCCCATCCTCCGCCCTAGGAGTCGCTCGACTCCACCCAAGTTCTCCGTCCTCACCATGGCCTCGGACCCACCTCCGGCCGACCCGCCAGGTGCGGCTGACGCTCCGTGCCGAGGAGGAAGTCTTGCATGAAGAGGTGGGCATGGTCCGCGGAAAAACAACACCGTCCCCACGTATACCAGAACTGTTCTTGGATGGGTCTCCCTACTCAACGGCGACCAGCTGGCTTTCGTTCCTTTCTTTTTGCTGGGGCCAACGGGCTCATCACTCCTGAGACGCTTGACCGACGCCCCTTCGTCACGGCACGTCGAACAACACCGACGTCGTACCGGTGTGCCGTCGCTGGGTGCGCCGTCGGGCCATGGGAGAGGGAAGACGTGAACCCGTCAGCGGTTGGAAGAGGTGGGTGGGTTGGAAGGACGGGTACTTTCACCACAGCCGGTGTTTGGGCCGGTGTTTGGGTCGAAAGCACACCGGTGTTTTGGCGTCTGGCGAGGAGAGGCGGAGAGGCGTTCGATACAGGGACAGACTTGGGCCCGTTGGCCCGTCCCCACAGGTCCTTTTGAGCGCGGAAGGTCGGCAAGAAAGCCATCACCGATTGAAGCGTCAGCCTGGACCTTCGAAAGCACCCTAGAAAATAGGACATTGCCCTATCATAACAAGTACTTGTATTCATGTTCTGAGGTACTTTGAGACTCCAGGAGGTTTGTTAAAATATCATGATGTTACCCTAGTGCTCCAACTGCCTCCTGAGAAGATTATTATGGTAGGTTTGTGGGGTCTAACCACCTTCTCAAGATTTGGTTGGAGGCCTACAGTTAATCAGACCATCCATGTATATATTATATATTATAATATAATGGACAAGTTTCATACATGTTCCCCATGTTTGACGTCGGTAAGTATTCCATACATGGTCTGGGATAGATGCTTGCAGGTTAATTCAACCCCAATAGCTGCTGTTTCAGATGCGGGCACCCAGCTTGGATTCGTTGGGGCTGTTTTATGTTCCCTCTGATTCGAAGTTGATGTCCTGGCGGAACTGACCCAAATTAGTGGATGTAACAAGTTTCTGGTGATGGCTCTTGGGTGGTTCAAAACCATCATCAACTCTTCCAACAATGGGAACATTCACACCCTTTGTCTGGTAGTTGAAGACGACCCCGCCAAAAAATGGACAATGCACACAATGCACTGCACACGATCGACGTGACATATCTCTGAGCTGAAAGAGATCTTTAAAAGCCTTTGTTGTGCAAGGGTTGGCTCTGTCACAACCATGCCCAGAAGATGGCGCAAAAACAGTAATGATTCAAGACCTTCCAGTCACCAGTCAATTGCCCAAGAGCTTGACCCAATTCGTTTTCGCTGCAGGATCTGTAATTCATTGGATCCAACTCGTTGCCTGGCCACGTCATCTCGAAAAACAGCACCCTTCAGATCCACAAAGGGTTCTGAAGCCTTTTGTCGGCGTTTTTCGTGGGATTCAGAACCCTTCATGAACGAATTCACTCTGCTCCCAACCGCGTCACCGCGTCGCGTTCGCGTCTTCGCCACGCCACGTCTATGGCTGCCAGCGGCGAAAGCATCGGCTGTCATGTCCCGTTTTGATCTTATAGGACCACGCATGGAATCCCTCTAGCCGCGCGAATAGGTATAGGCGTGAGGATCTCCCACTACCTTTGCTTCTTTTTGCTTCGACCACGCATCGAAGGAAGACTGTCCACCGCACCTGTCCCGTAGGTGGTGTGCTTGACCTTCGATTGCCCTGTGGCGGCCACGCAGATGAGCACCGCACCTGGGAGGCACGTGTCCGACGTGAGTGCCGAGAGACTCGACTGAGTAAAGGTGATGAAAGTAGCGACCTTTCCTTCCTTTTCTGTTGGTTTCTAGTCGTGGTGATAGCCTCCAACCTAATAGCGATGGCCTCCAACCTAGCAGTATAACCTGACATGATGTTGTGCTCATCTGAAAGCAGAGGTTTTGGAAGCTTTGGTTTTGTTGTTCCTGTCCAGTGAGCATGATGCGTGAAGCGGAATGATATGCTGCTCTATGAAGAGCTACAAAGACAAATCTCCTGGTTCTGCTTATGAGGTGATTGTTTATCTTCCCGAACTGGATAAATCCCAGTCTTGGGGAATATATGTTTTAAATATGTGGCTTCCTTTCATTTATGAAGCAATACCAAAGATATCCAGATCCCGAAGTCGGTTCCGATGAAATCCACTAGTGAAGTCTTTTGGTGGGAGAACTGCCTATGCATTGTTGCCACAAGGAGCGGGTGATTTTTTGGTCAAAACGAGAAAGGATATTGCTTTCCTTCAACAGCAGGCTGCTTGCAATCACCTTGGCGGCCCAAAGTCTAGCTGTCCGCTACGATTATTGCGTGAACTCAGAAAACAGTCTCAATCTTCATATTCAAAAAAGCAGTTGGCCTCCATGCTGGTTGACCTTGGCCAGACGATGATTTCAGGGTGAGCTGACCGCAAAAACTTGCACGCCGCCTGAACACCACTGCCTTCGTGTACACCACTGCTTCGGGTGCCATATATTGGCTCCAAAGGACTTCTATTCTTGACCAGATACCACAGTTCATTGGACAGCAGGGGTGCAATGGACACTTTGGAGAGCATTGCCCAATGAAGACCTGTTCCAAGCCTTTCCAAGCCGTGTCGTGATATGACGTGACGGGACGCCGAAGTCACGTTGGGACGCTCTTCATACTTTGGGATTGGGGATCTCGTGAATTGTAAACACGCCCTAGGGATCCAAGGGAGACCCCATGACCCATGACCCATGAACCCCCCAAAGAAGACCCCCCAAAGCCCCCCATGACCCATGGAAGAAGGACAAATTCAATGTGAATGATTGGGTGCGGGACTCGCCTTTTACAATACCCTATCCTATAGGGATCCAGTCGTACCTTCTCAGGTTCGGTACCTTGGAACCTCCTGTGGCGCCTACATGTCTCAGTGTCGAACACATCACCTGAGAAGGTGCGACTGGATTCCTATAGGGAATATGTTCACCTAGTTTGCTCAGGGCCATTTACGACCGTCCCGTGACGGGTTTATCATGTTTGGTGACCCATCCAGCCAGGACCTCGGTCCTTTATAAAGGGGTGTCCTGACTGGACATGATTCATGTGAGAGTCCCGTCCCTTTTTCCACACTACACCCTGGAAGACTCACATAGACCCTGAAAAGCACTGGTTGGTAGAGGCAAACGCTCTTCCAGGGGGCCATTGTCAGGGTCCATATACATACTTGTTTTGACAGTCTGGCATTGGACGTTGGCTGTTTTAGGCTTGAGGTGCAGTAGGACCTGCAGCAGCTGTCACGGCAGTCTTCGGATTGATTGGATTCCGGTGACCGCCAGCCAACCCTTGTGTGTCAGTTCAAATCATTTTGCTGCCAGATCACAGAAGGGTATAAGCTGCCATTTCTGCCAGGATAGCAGTTTTTGAAAGGAAACCCTGGTTTGTCTTAAGACCGTTTGCTTGTTCGAAAGACCAGTCGCTCCTGGATGGGCACCGGGTCCCGTCGTCAGTTACGCGTTTGTACGTACGCGACCACTCAGGGTACGACGGACCGAGCGATGCTGTGCGGTCCGGCGCGTCCGCGGGCAGGTCCTGCGTGACGCTCGTCGCGGAGTCCCTGGGACGCCAGCAGATCCTCAGCGCTTACGCTGAGCAGCTCGGAGAGTCCCAGATGCCTTGGAGGCGTGCGGAGAGAAGAACGAATCGAGGGGAGGAACTGGTTCGGTGCAGGGGGAAGGGTGGTTTGATGTTACTATCAAAAAAAGACAATCGTTCAGTTCAGCCTCACAATAGTGCACCCAAAAAATAGAAGTGAAACTTGATTCATAATTGTGTATAACTTGTTTCAATGCCATAATGCTTCACAGATTGCAGTCTTGAATTGCGCAGTCTTCAAGCACTTTAAAAGTTATGAGCACAGTATGTTTAATGTATGTTTATTCACATTTGCAATTAGCTTGCGATTACAATTTGAATTCCCCAAACAGCTTTGCTGTGAGGGGGCTCAATTCTTGCATAGAAACGATGCTGGGCCAAGATGATTCCCGCCCTTTGTCTCCCTTGTCTCCGATGGCGTGTCTGGATGCTGGGCTGAGATGATTTTGCTTTGTCTCCCCTTGTCTCCCATCGCGTGTCTGGATGCTGGGCTGAGACTACTTTGCTTTGCCTCTCCTTGTCTCCCCTTGTCTCTTTTGGCGTGTCTGGATGCTGGGCTGAGATGACTTTGCTTTGTCTCCTTTCGTCTCCCTTTGTCTCCCATGGCGTGTTTGGATGCGGGGCTGGGATCACTTTGCTTTGTCTCTTCTTGTCTCCCCTTGTCTCCCATGGCATGTCTGGATGCTGGGCTGAGATGATTTTGCTTTGTCTCCCTTTGTCTCCCAGTTGTTGTTGTAGAGGACGAAGGTCCGTTCACAGATCATCCTCCGTTGGCAAACAAGGTGACATTCCGGGACTTGTCAGGATCTTGAGAGGTTGCAGTTGCAAGCTCGTGAAGGACAAAGTTCTGTTTCTCGAGCTCAGGCTGTGATTAGTTGGGATCATCATCAAGTCTTGGATACGTTTCGCCACTCGAATAGGAGAGTTTCGAGGGACTCAGGTGGTATCTATCCAAGGGAGACTCGGGACATGCTCAAGTTGACAGACATCAAGGTTGCTCAGATTGTTCTCTCCTATTGCCACGCGGAGTTCAATGAGAAACGTCTTGCGCTGTGCATCAAACCAACCGGAACTGGCAGGAACATTTCTCAGCCGAAAGCCCACAGGTGAGAAAGGCAAACTTGCCGTGCTGCGAAGGTTGTTTACTCTTGATTCGTTGGTGTATCACGTGGACGATTCACCAGAGGTTCTTGAGGAGATCAGCAACTTTATCAAGGCGAACCCACAGTGTGCGTGGGTGGTGTTGGGCTTTCGAGTTCCTCGCAAGTGGGCTGTTCCGGGAGTTTCGCATTATCAGCACACATCGTCTCCCATGGCGTGTCTGGATGCTGGGCTGAGATGACTTTGCTTTGTCTCCCTTGCCTCCCTTTGTCTCCCATGGCGTGTTTGGATGCCGGCTTTGTCTCTTCTTGTCTCCCCTTGCCTTCCATGGCATGTCTGGATGCTGGGCTGAGATGATTTTGCTTTGTGTCCCTTTGTCTCCCCTTGTCGTCTCCCCTGTCTCCCCTTGTCTCTCACCCTCTATAAATCTTAGTTTGATTTAGCCTCGACTGAGTTAGATGTTTGTAATTGCTTAGGTCTGACTTAACTAAGTCAAAGTTAAGTCAAATAAGGCAAACTTGGCCTTAGCTTGGACTTGGTCAGTCGAAACTAAGTCCGAGAGTCCAGGCTTAGTCTAAGCTAAGTCCTAGCTAAGAGAGATTTAAGACTAAAATGACAGGGAAGCATTCAAAGAATTGTCTGGCACATATCCCCTGTAAGACTAAAGTGAAGTAAAAACACTGTCAAACATGGTCACACATGTTTTTCGCATGTTCCTTTCAAAATTAAGAACAGACACCTTGGAAGACTTGGCTTAGACTTTTTTGGGTTCTGCTCGGACAGCCCAACCTAAGTTCAACCACAGTTCAGCCTGAGTCAACCCTAAATCGAAGCTAAGTCTTCCATAGCCAAGTCCACGCTCAGTCGGTCCTAAGTACTTATATATGTCTACATCAAACTTAGCTAGCATTAGAAAGCCATCGACCCGGCAAGTAGTTCTGCACTTGCTGGGTGAAACACACATGCTCAAGTCCAGTGCTCAGCCACAACAAATCATGGTTGCGTTCAGCAGTACAAAGTCCTCAAGTATCAAAAAACAGTTTTTTGGCACCCTCCTCTCAAAAGGAAGGTTGTGATATAATGAAACCGTTTTTCAACAAAACCACCTTGTTTTGCACCAGGGGTGGTGCCGATGGAATAATGTTGGTGTTTGCGCGCTGCCCACACGCGTGAACCCATAAGGTTCAGCAAGTCCTTTTATCAAAATTTGTAAGTTTTTAGATTTTGTTTCCCAAAAATTCCATGCAAACGTATCTGTGGCACACCACGAAGTGCACTGATGATTTTCAAATGTTTGTTTCTAATACTAATTTACCACATGTTTAAATTGAAAACATTTGATATGGGATGCACCTGAAGTGGTCAACACGATCTTTGTATAATCGCGAAAGCTAGCAGCAACTAGGTGGAGTTGTTCTTGAATTTAGCAAGTGAGGGGCACCGCATCGCGTCAAGAGCGCCGCATCGCATCAAGTCTGGCCCCCCCCCCATCCGCGGGTTCAACTCTTCCAGACGTCTCTGGGACGTCTGTCAGCTTGCATTTGTATAGACACACGCACTGCATCGAAATTGGATTTCCGGAACCAGCTTCCTCCCTGCAGGTCTAGCTGAAGCCCTCACCCCGCCCTGCTAGCTTTCGTCACCAATCGGCAATCGGCCTCCAGTATGAAGTATATAGTTACCTGCAGCTGAGTGGATCACATCCCTATAGGGATCCAGTCGTACAATCGGAACGAAAGTACAACTGGACCCTCATGCCACCTACATTGGAGTGTCGAACACATCACCATACCTAAAAGGTACGACTGGATCCTTAGGGTGAAGCAGAAAACAGAACCTGACGGTTAGAATGATATCACTTATCACCCTGTTGTCCTGGAGGATTCGAGGACGAACACTGGTTTCATCGGTGCTTTGGGCGATCTATGTGAATCTACGTGTGCACATGCACCTATAGTCAATTTAAACTAGTTTAAAGTGGCTTTCTTTCTTTCTTTCTCGAGCGCCAAGGACGATTGTCTGCGGCAATTGCATTAATTATGGTCATTGAATTTAAGCTGTTGGCCTTTATTCCCAAAATCCTGCCCCATTTCAGCATTGACGTCAAAAGAGGCATTAAGGGCCACAATAACCTCTTCAAACCAACTGGGATTCTGTTGGGCATCTTTGGGAATAGGCTGTGCATTGGCACACAGAGTGGCGATCGCTTCGCACAAGCCAGGTGGGTATACCTTAAGTTCGGCAGTTTTCCACCGGCCCTCCGTGTCTTTGCCAATGGCTGACGCGAGCGGCAACTGTGTAGTGCGCTGGTGGTAAAGGGTCTCCTTTGCGTCATCCGCCCCGTTCACAAGCAACAAATCGGTAGGCTTAACCGTTTTGCCGCCGTAATGGCCCTGCAGAACGCGGACTTTGGAGACCCTGGGGAAGAGCTGGATCACTTTGAGGATCGATGTCTTCCATATGGAAACAAGGTGCGGCTCATCTTCGTCTCCTGCCGGATGCTCAAGTACTACGGTTTTACCGTGTACGAGCGCCACACAGGTGAGCTTGAGGGCTACGGCCAATAGACGTGACCCAAAAGTGACTTGTTCGTCTTCCTTTCGGGTCAAATCAACTTTCCCATATGGCCTAGCATTCGTTCTCACGACGCGGGGTCCTAAGGTGCCATCACTGAGAGCCCTGCCTCGGGCCCGCGACCATGTTTCACACGGTGGGCCCGCAACGAAGCCCTGGAGCACATTTTGCTCAAGAGCGCGTCGGAAAAGGTTGAAAGTTTCCGGTCGATTCAAATCTCCTAAAGAGACGTTAAAGATAATGTCAACAGAAATCATCACACAGCCCTTCTTTTCAAGACACTCCTGGATATCAGCTGTCCTTCTGTGCCCTGAAAACAAATGGGCGAAGATGACCGGCGCATGAATCGGCTCTCGGTAACAAACAAAAGCCTGCTGGTGCATCTGCGCGGCCAATCGCTCCATACAAAGGCTGGCATCCTTGTGAGGACTTAGCTTCTGGCATCCTGTTTGAAACCATTCGAAAGCAAATCTGTCCTCAAAGATTCGTAGAATTCCAAGGTGCTGCAAATTCAGTTCTTCTGTTTGGGCAGCATACGCTTGCCAGTTTTTGTAGGTTTGTCGGATTTCAGACGGAAAGAGACATGTGTTCTTGGTCACAATCCGGAGCCGTTCAAGCAAACCATCGGCATCTTGGAGCGGAACCAAGGCTTGTGTCCATGCCTGCCATAACCTACTGGTTTCCCCATCAACAAAGGGGTCTCCTTGGTTCTCAAGCGTGGAAATTTTCTTGGGCCCCTCACCTTGTAGAACTGGGTCAGCAAGAACTTCTCTGCTCTGATTGGCCTTTCTACTATTAACACCTGCCTCAGGCTCTATGATGATGGCACCGGTCATGTATCGGTGGAGACACTTCTGACTGCGCTTAACATGATTTTGCAGATTGAGGACTGATGAGTAGTGCTTCAGGCAGCATACACACTGTCGTCCATCTACGAAATATCTCGTGACATTTCGTCGCGAGTGCATCTTAAAGGCATGTACCGCTAATGCAGCTGGCGTAGCAAAAATCTTCGCGCATCGGAGGCAAAAGTGTTCATCTGGTGCAGAATTCTCAGGGATGTTGAGCGCTTGGTGCTCAGACAAAAATCTAAAACCCAACGCTGCAACTGATCCCATTCATGGCGTCGCCTCTGGTGAGCAATAGCTCGTGCTTGGGCTCTTTTCAGCAAGCGCTTCCATGGCAGAGGCCGTCGATTGGCCCAATCTACCAGCAAAGGCCAGCTGTCAGCAGATCCATCAGGGATTTCATCTTGGGTACACAAAGACTGCAGCCATGACAGATCTTCAACAACAGTCGAGTACCATCTCTGCTCCAACTGGACCAAAGCCCAAAAGTGAGGCTGGCCCGTG